GTTATATCAGAAACAGTGGCTGGTGAATCAGAAGGGTAAAAGGCTTTGAAAGTGTTATAGGGCAGTGAAGAGAGTAAAAGAATAATATATTATGAGAAAGCTCTATATTATGGTGACAGAGCAGTAGGTGCTGAAAGAAAACTGTACCTTGAATTTGAGGTACAAAGAAGGAGGGTCATGCAAATTCCACAGTCTCATTGTCACAAATCAAATATAACTCTTCATCCATCTTCTTTAAATCCTTTGATGCTATGTCAAGTAGCATTCAGTATATTATTTCTATCATCCCTTATTTTTTGTTGCAAAGTAATAAAGCTCTTGAAAAAAAAATTCAAATACAGGAGTACATGAAGAAGTGTATTTCTCTACCTCACTCCCCATCCTTAATTCCACTCCTAAGAAGTAATCATTATTAACATTTTAATGTGTCTCCTTCCATGCTTTTTTTTTCTTTGCATATGTAAGCATATTTAGGTGTTTTGTTTTGTTTTGTTTTGTTTTGAGAGAGAGAGGGAGGTAGAGACAGCATGAGCAGGGGAGGGTCAGAGAGAGAGAGACACAGAATCTAAAGACAGGCTCCAGACTCTGAACTAGCTGTCAGCACAGAGCCCGACGCGGGGCTCGAACCCACAAACCGTGAGATCATGACCTGAGCTGAAGTCAGACGCTTAACCAACTGAGCCACCCAGGCACCCAAAGCACATTTACTTTTGAGGGAGTTTTGATATTTGTTCACAAATGGGACCATAGTGTTTATATTCTTTGGTTTGCTTCATTATTATATTTCTTTATTTTATATCAGCACTAGTCTGGAATGATATGCTCCTTCCCATAAGCACATTTTTCCAATTATAGAACTCAATAATTCAGAACTCAATAGAACAGAAAAAAAATGACAGTGTCCTCTGATTTCATGTGCCTGTGATTCTGGATAAGCCCCACTCAGGTTGCAAAGAAAGGGTTCTGAGCTTTTTAAAGGCCTAAGACCCCATTATGGATCCAGAGAAAGCTATAGACCTTCGCCCCCATGCACATATGGGCAAAGTTTTGCAGACAATTTCAAAGTTAAGATTCCCTCCTACTTTGTGCAGCCGCTCTGGAAAAACAGTGTGGAGATTCCTCAAAAACTTAACAATAAAACTCCCCTCTGACCCAGCAATAGCACTGCTAGGAATTTACCCAAGGGATACAGGAGTGCTGATGCATAGGGGCACATGTACCTCAATGTTCATAGCAGCACTTTCAACAATAGCCAAATCATGAAAAGAGCCTAAACTGACAAGTGGATCAAAAAGATGTGGTTTATATAGACAATGGAATACTACATGGCAATGAGAAAATGAAATCTGGCCATTTGTAGCAACGTGGATGGAACTCGAGGGTATTATGCTAAGTAAAATAAGTCAGGCAGAGAAAGACAGATACCATATGTTGGAACAGGAGAAACTTAACAGAGGACCATGGGGGAGGGGGAGGGGAAAAATAGTTAAGGAGAGCAAGGGGGGCAAACCATAAGAGATTCTTAAATACTGAGAACAAACTGAGGGTTGATGGGGGTGGGGGAGAGGGGAAAATGAATTATGGGCATGGAGGAGGGCACTTGTTGGGATGAGCACTGGGTGTTATATGGAAACCAACTTGACAATAAACTAAAAACAGAAAAAAAAAAAAAAAAAGATTCCCTCCTGCTTTAATTTCCCTTTCTTCCCAAGTATATGTTTTGTTCCAAAAGACTGATGAGGGGAGCGTCTCCCTCCAACACCACTGGCCTAAATGAGATATTCCTCCATGTTGGGCCCTACCAAACACTACTTTGCCTCTGGCCACTTTTTTCCTTCACAGGGATGACTTAACCCAGACGCCTGTACCCTTTGGCATTGGTGCTTGGCAGGACTGGTAGAAGCCACTATTACAACAAACAGAGCCCACCTTCCCTGCAATGGCAAATTGCTGGTTTCCTAGATACCCTGGCTCCCCTCACTGATGCCACAAGCAAAACCCAGGGCAGGCTGTCAGGGCTGCATCTCATTAACATCTAGTATGGTCAGCAACTAATATTGTTCACTCTGATCAAGAAGACTCTGCTGCCTTTACCTCTTCCTCAGTTATTATCTTTCACTATACCTCTGTCCCAATAGGTCGTTAGCCCCTCCTCATTATTGGGAAATTATAATCCTTTCCTTTGCTTGGGGACTAAGGCATTGACCCTAGAGGATTAAGATATCAGACTATACCCAGTGCCATAGCTAAGGGGATGTCTGCAGTGCATGCTGAGTGTGCACTCTATACTGATATACTGTCTACTCATTTTACCATACTCAGAGATGATCTGGATACTATTACCTCCCATATTCCCTCAATCAGAGCCCTTATAGTGTGCACACTCCACACACATACAGACACACATGTGCGCACACACACATCAACAAGAATCCTGAGGTACACAGACAATTGCATTTAGCCATGACTTCCCATGCCCTCTTTTTCAGAGTTTAATCAGATTCAGTCACATTGATGCATTTGCGAATCCCCTGACTCTTAAGGATACGCAAGGGGCCTTTACAAAATCTTTATACAACTGTTTAACCTGCCCTAAAGCCCAGGAAGCAAGAATCAGAAATCATCGATTTGTAGGATTTTAGAATAGAAAGGTCTAAGATTCTTTCATTCATTAAACAAACCTTTATTAAGTTCCACTCTGTGCCTCATAAGGTGTATTAGATCACGTAGTCCTATCCTCTCTTTTAAAAAATTTTTTTAAAGTTTATTTATTTATTTTGAGAGAGACAGAGACAGCACAAGTGGGGAAGGGGCAGAGAGATAGGGGGAGAGAGAACCCCAAGCAGGCTCTGCACCAGCAGCGCAGATCCTGACAAAGGGGCTCAAGCCTACAAAACCACAACATCTTGACCCGAGCCAAAAACAAGAGTCGGCAGCCGACCAACTGAGCCACCCAGGTGCCCCCTATCCTCTCTCTCTCTCTCTCTTTTTTTAATGTTTTATTTATTTCTGAGACAGAGAGGGAAGCAGTGTGAGCAGAGGAGGGTCAGAGAGAAAGGGAGACAAAGTATCCAAAGCAGGCTCCAGGCCCTGAGCTGGCTGTCAGCACAGAGCCTGACGTGGGGCTAGAACCCACAAACCATAAGATCATGACCTGAGCTGAAGTCGGACGCTTAGCCGACTGAGCCACCCAGGTGCCCCCTCCATCCTCTCTTTTTACAGATGAGAAAGCAGAGGCCCAGATGGGCCCAGGGTCACACAGCCACTTAAATAGCAGGTACATCCAGGTGACCTGACTCCCCTTTCTGGATTCTTTATATCCGCCATGCTGAACAGAAATTCATGTTAAGTCATAAGCAGTAACTTAAAGCAGATGACGAGTTTAAGAGAAGGTATTGTCATCAATGATACCACAGATCAAAGAATAACGTCCACCACTACAGAGGGGAAGAACAAATTACTCTTGAGAAACACAATTGAATAGGTGGTCATTGCTGTCAGCATTATTATACTGTATTAATAGCAGGGAGTGGGTGTCCCATGTTGAGTAGTAACAGCAATGAGGGTTTGTAAGGTCTATAGTCCTTTACCTGAAATTGCAAAATCCCCAAACTCTGAAAACTATCAGTTTTCTTTTTCTTTGGCAGCAAAATCTGACCTTACCTAAAGTATCTTGGCAACAAAACCTATCCTCAAGTGGTGTAAATAAATTCATAGTCTTTGTTTATCCTGTTTATTATGAATATCCCCACCTTTTTGCTGCAGAAGTACCAATATTCTATTATGGGTGTTCCCAGACCCATTGTATGTGGTTTAATATAGTATATAGGTAATATTTGTTTCCTAAAATCCACAAAATTCTAAAAAAAAAATCTGACCCTGCGGATCATAATACAACTAGGCATTATGAACCTATTTTACATTTAGAATATACATATTGCTCTCCAGGATTCATGCAAGGAACACTCATTTTTAGCTCTCTCCCAACACAAAAATAAGATAAATTTCACTGAGATTTCACCCTTTCCAGACTCCATACTTTTAGTTTTAATTTAGTTCCACTAAGTTACTTAGGTTCTAAGAAATTGTATTTCATTCATTGCAGTTTATTAAGCTGAGAGGTGGGAGGAGTAGGCTAGAAATTGCCAGGCTGCCGTAAGGGAGCCCAGGATTGGGCAGAACCAGCATGAACATATTGTTTTATTCTCTTCCCACCATGTCTTATGGCAGGGCAGAGAGAACCTTGGGATAGCAGTCTCAGTTTTTTTCCCAGAACAGAGGGAACAATTCACAGAGCAGGTAAGGCATGGAGATCCCACACACAGTGAAGATGAAGATGCTACTGAAGCTCTCAGCCCTGATTAAACCAAAGGAAGGTATTCGTGGGACGAAATCCACTCTGGTCTGCTTCATCAAAATCCAGCTAGCAATAAGTCAGTAAATCCAGTTAGCCTATGTCAACAGGTTCATCCTTCTCACACAAACCATACCTTCACTCATTCCCTCTGGGCACGGGAATACGGCATATGTGCCAACATACGCACTTGTCTGAAGATGCCATCTATCCCTGCATCTTTCTCAGAGTCTTATAAGCCTCATTCTGTGCACCATAGTAAAATCTCTGCCATTGTGAGGCACTATTGAGACCTTTCAACAACTCTGCCCAGGCCTAGGGTCTCTGGGGCCATCAACTTAAAAAAAAAAACCATCACCCCACCCTCGGGATGGCAGAGACCAACAGCAATGCATTCCTTTTCCCTTTGCTTCTGTCTCCCTCCTTTCCTTGTTTCTCTTCCCCTCCCCATCTCTCCTTTCCTCTCTTCTTCCTTCATCAGCTCTGCTTTCCTGTCCTCAGCCTTGGTGGTCCTCTGACTCCACTGCGACACTTAGAAAATGGGGTCAGAGCACCAGCCCAGAGAAACACAAGGAAAGCAAGAGGGCACATCCTCTTGCCAGGACCCCTGACCCACCAGCCTGACTGCCTTCTCTGTCCCACTCAGTCCTTCAGAGATGAATATCCTCCGCCTACTCCTGGCCACCTTGCTGGTCTCCCTGTGCCTCCTCACCACCTACAGTCACCTGGCACCTGAGGAAAAACCCGGAGATGACAGGAGCCTGAGGACCAACTCCTCCATGAACCTGTTGGATCTCCCTTCTGTCTCTATTGTAGGTAAGTAGGCTAGCTTGACACCTGGTCTCTGGACTCCAGTCCATGAGAAGGGGCTGCAAGATGTCAAACATACTCCCCAGGCTGATACCAGGATTCACTGACATAGGTCAGAGCTCCTTCGTGTTCATTCTTCAAAGTAATCCTAGAAGCATAAAATATTCCTTGACTCATAAGCTCTGCATACCACCAAGCTAATATGTAGCTTTGCATGTTAGATGCTCTGAGAAACCCTGAAGTCAAGACACTTCATGAATTTGGTTTAACTTGGCATTTCTGAAACTTACTGAATCAAAGAACTATCAACAGTAAAAAATTTAGAAAATGCTGCAGAATATAAGTGTAGGATGAACTAGTCCTTTCAGTGTTGAGAATGGAGAATGACTGCTCAGGGGAAAATGTCAGGGCTGTTAGGGCCTGGCATTGAACATGTTCTAGTTCAATTTCATCTGATAAAAATAATAGTAACAGATATATGCCTTGTGTTTTAGGCACTGTGAAGAGAGTACTATTTTTATTCCTGTTTTACAGTTGAGGAAATTGAGGCTTAGCAAAGTTAAGTGACTAGCACACAGTTCTCAACTAGCAGAGCCAGAATTCAAACCCAGGTTTTGATTCCAGAACTCAAGTTCAAAACTAATATCCTTCACTGCCTTGCCTCTCACTAGGAAAAGAGAATATTTTAGTCATATCAGGGAAGGAGCAGGGAAGGGGTTGGGTTACATCACTGATCAATCACCTTTGATGTGCCAGACTTCTAACTTTATAAAGGTACCTTGTTGATCTTCAAGACAACCCTGCAAGGTAGATACTAGAGTACCTGTTTGCAGGTGAGAAAACTAGGTCTTAAGGAGGTTAAGTAGTTTGCCTAAGGAAACAGCTATTTTTTTTTTAAGTTTATTTTGAGAGAGAGAGAGAGAGAGAACATGAGCTGCAGAGGGACAGAGAGAAAGGGAGAGAGATAATCCCAAGCAGGCTCAGCACTGTCAGCACAGAGCCTGACATGAGTATGGAACCCAGGAACTGTGAGATCATGACCTCAGCCAAAATCAAGTCAGACGCTTAATCAGCTGAACAACTCAGGCGCCCTAGGAAACACAGCTGTTATGTGGCAGAGTCAGGATTCAAATCAGATGTGCCTGGCTCCATAGCTCTGAGAAATGTAAAACAAAAATACAGGAAATACAGGTCCATCCATGTACATGACACTGAGAGTCCATTTTTCAGGGCCTTCTTGGATTTCCTCTTTGCTTTCCCTCAGAAGATATTTTTCTTTCAGTCCCTGGCTCCAAGTCAGCAGCCAGGCTAACAAGAACCTGCTGCCTAAGTCCCAAGTTGTAATTCATGCAGCCAACTCCTCTTCTCCCACATCCTGAGATTTCCTGGAGCCCCCTCCACATCTCCCACTTTACTGTAGCTCATGGCCTCCAGAAACATCTGGCTTTGCTCCTTCTGTCTCTCTTTGAAGCGCTGAACAAGAAATCTGAAAAGATCAGCAGAAAAGAGGCGGAAAAGAAGAGATCTTCCAAGGTAGGACTGAGAGTTCTCATTGTGGGGGCGGGACCAGACTTAAAAGGGAGTTCTAGCTAGGAACTAAATGAAAGACTTTCCTGGCTTTCATGAACAAAAGAAGCTGAAAGCTATCTAAAGCCTTCCTGCCCTATAGCCCTGAACCAGACCCCCCACAGAAGCCCAGAGAGCTAAGGTTCACTGAGCAAAATAGCTTACCTGCTAAAAAGCATCTTCCTATACTAGCTAGCCCCCTGACTGAAATGTCACCATCATTCATTCTTTTGACTGAATGCAAAAAGGTTTAGGTTTCCTAAACCTCAATTATTTCAGAACCATTTCCCACAATTTTATTTTAAATATTTATTTTTAAATAATCTCTACATCCAACATGGGGCTTGAACTTACAACCCTGAGATCAAGAGTTGCATGATCTACCAACTAAGCCAGCCAGGGACACACCCCGCCCACACACACACAGAATTTTTGCCATAACTGAGTTTCACCTATTTATTTGTTTAAAATTAAAACTTAAAAAATATATAACTATGAGCAAAAATCAATTATCACTTGCCATAAAAATAAGTATCATGAAAACAAAACATTTTTAGTGGAATTTAGCTGGATGGGGTCACTTGCCAAATGCTCTAAATCTGAGGCTTATTGTTAAAAGTCAGATTAGAAAGTGTTGGGAAAGCATTAATAATATATTGGCACCAAACTAAGCCTTTAAAATTGAAAGAGATTGAAAAAAGAATCTTTTCTCATTATGTGATTTAACGTCATTTAATACTTATGTAGCACCTAAAATCATACTACCATGGTGCGGTTCCCACACTTTGGGAAATATTAGATTCAGGCATTGTTGAAATGTACACATTATTCTTGTCTTAGACCTGGCACTGTGTGATCTTGAGAAAGTCCCTGCTCCTCTCTAGACTTTTTCTAGAGTGAACAAGCAGATCAGATGATTGACATATAAGAATACATAGTTGACAGATATTTTTGCATGCTAGCTACAGGGAAGGTGGAAATGAACAAGAGACATATATCCCTGCTATCATGTAATTTACATTCTTGTGGGGAAAAGAGAAAAACAAACAATGAGTAAACCATTAAATAGGTAAAATAAATTCAGATAATGATAAACACTGTAAAGGAATTAAAGCATGGTAATGAGAGTGAAGAGTGGTCTCAGAAGCCCTCCCTAAGGAAGTAACACTTAAATACTGAAAAACTCAGTAAGCTCAAGCAGCAATGCCCATTAGAAATAAGCCGTAGGCCAAGTATATTAAATTTTCTAGTAGCTACATTAAAAAAAAAAGTAAAAAGAAGCACATGTCATTAAGTTTAATGTTTTACTTAACCCAGTATATACAAAATATTATCATTTTAATATGTAACCAATATAAAAAGTTAGTGAGATATTTTACATTTTTTGCGTATGTGCTAAGTCTGAAACCTGGTGATGTATCTTGACACTTACAGTACATCTCAATTCCGATGCTAATTTTTAATAAAGTCAGCTGTGGTCCTAACAACAATTTTTTAAAGAAAAAATTTTAGCTGCTTCTATTTCTAAATGTAAATTAAAATTAAATAAAATTTGAAAACTCAGTTCTGCAGTTGCACTAGACACATTTCAAGTACCTGTACTCAACAGCACAACAAAGAATGGTTTCAGGGAAGTGGGTAGCCAGTTCAAAAGCCCTGCAGCAGGAACTCTCTGCTTTTTAAAAAAAAAAATTTTTTTTTCTGAGAGAGAGAAAGAGAGACAGCGTGAGCAGGGGAGGGTCAGAGAGAGGGAGATACAGAATCTGAAGCAGGCTCCAGGCTCTGAGCTAGCTGTCAGCACAGAGCCTGACACGGGGCTTGAACCCACGAACCGTGAGATCATGACCTGAGCCGAAGTCGGACGCTTAACCGACTGAGCCACCGAGGCGCCCCCCTCTTTTTCTTTTTCTTTTTTTTTTTATGTTTTGTTTTGTTTTTTTAAATTTATTTCTGAGAGAGAGACACACAGCGTAAGCAGGGGAGTGTTAAGGGTCAGCAACTCTGTGCTTAAGTTCAAGGAAGAAAGGCCAATGGAACAGTGTGGTAAAATCAGCTCAGAGAAGCGGGCGCAGCCAAACCAGAGGTCCTCGAAGGCCTAGGTGACGTTTATGGTTTATTCTAAATTCAAAGTAAACCTACTTAGGGCTTTAAGCCAGAGTGAATGCCATCACAGGTCTTCGGAGAGGTCCGTTTGGTGCAACTGAGGATGGACTGTAAGTGGACCAGAGCAACAAACTAAAGATAGTGGCCTGGCCCAGGGTAGCGAGGTGGTGAAGAAGTGAGTGGATCCGGATTAATGGGAAGGCAGAACTGCCAGAGACTGGGGATATACTGGAAGGAGGAACACCCAGAACTGAGTGGGATCCACCAGTGAGGAAAGTGGGACAGGCGCAGCCAGGTTAGTAAGTGTTACTGGGTTTGGAAGCAAGGGATAGATGATTGGGGGAGTCAGGGATCCGCTGGGGTTCCCTGTGGGCATGGTGTCGAATGGACGGTGGGTTGCGGGTAAGGATGTCTGGTCTGGGGCCTCCATAGCCCAAAGAGTTCCCTGGCAGAGGCGAGCGGGGCGGGGCGGGCCTGGCCGCATTGAGCAGCCCCAGCTTTTCCCCACAGACAAAGGCTTCGATGAAGAACGTTGCTCAGCCTCGGCGGCCCCGGCCTCCGCCGCCTGCCCCCTGCGTGGCCACTCGCGACAGCTGCAAGCCGCCAGCGCCCGCCTGCTGTGACCCGTGCGCCTCCTGCCAGTGCCGCTTCTTCCGCAGCTCTTGCTCTTGCCGAGTGCTCAACCCCAGGTGCTGAGCGCGCCCGCCTCCAGGCCAGCGGAGAGGGGCAGGGCGCCAGCAGGGAGGGGTAGAGCGGGGCTCTCGGTGGGGAAGTGGGGGGGGGGGCGCTCTTCCTGGGGTGGGTGATTTCTAACAGGTGTGGCTTCCTAGGACGAGGCGCGGCGTAGCTACTTAGTTCGGGAAGGAGCTTTCAGGAGGCGGGGCTTCAAGGAGACTTGGCTCCAAAGACGCTTGGCTTGGCTTGGAGATTAAAATCCAAATATATGTAAGTTGCTCCAAGCTGTGTGGCTGTTTCTTTAAAGGACTCCAGAGATCCTTTTCCGTTCCTCGAGTCCCCTTCGCTGAGGAAGACCTGAACCGCGCATGCTCTAACTCCTGGGGTCTGTGAAACCCGATTACTCTGGTCCTAGGGCTGCACGCCGCTTAAGCGCTTGTTCGTTGGAGAAAAGTGCTGCCCCCTACTTGGGAGCAAACGAAGCTGCCCGTCCGGAGCTGGCTGTGAAGGCGCACACACCAGTTGTGTCTTTCCACAATGTCAGCTTTATTCAGTCATTAAGCAAGGTTAACATAAAGCAGACTCAGGTTTCAAAATTCAATGACATTTCACAACATGTTTAACTGGGCTTTTTATATGTCAGGCAAAGCAAAAGACAAGTCACACAATAAACAATGTAGAGCGGAATGGGGAGGAAGCTACGGAACCAATCTGTGAGCACGCAGCTGGGATAAGGCCTCAGTCTTGTCTGGGTCAGCTCTTGGCACTTATTGCTTATCATGTTCAAGCTGTGAAGGATCTGTGTTCTTTCCACAGATCAATCAAGCAGAGCCTTCGGCTGCCGTTTTGAAGTGTTCAGACAGAGAGAGGTCAGTGTCTGAGGAGTCTGACAGCTTACTGCAAAATATTCTCTTTTTAAAAGGGATTTAATTAGTCTTAGGCCTTTGCTGACCTCCTCTGTTTCTGTTGGTTACAACTCCTGAATGTGTCAAAAGCTGGTGCTGATCTCCGAGATATCTGGTCTTAGCTGAAAGGCCCTTAGCTGCTTGCATCATTGCTTGACAGTTGCGTGTTTGACACAGGCTCCTGCTTAACATAAACAACTCTATCTTTCTCTTTACATTCCACCCCGTGATTGCTCATGACAAATCTCTGAGGGTCATGCAGGAATCAAGTAAATCTTAAACCAAGTCAGCAGTACGAGTTTTCAAATGTGAAAGAAGGTAAATCCAAATCATTCAATCATGTTTTCAATCAGAATAAAAAATAAATCTCAAATCATATGAAATGTCAATTGACATCATAAAACAAAGATCATGTCAAATGTAAACAAGTTAGATACATTAAACAGAATCAAATAAAGCAAAATTAAGTAAGGATTACATTTTAAAACTCCAACCTAAAGTCACATCTAATAAGAATTAAGTCAAAAAGAGAGGAGAAAGACTAAATGGAATTAAGGTAAGTTAACAAATCAACAATGCAGTCAAATAAAAGAAATAAGAATCATACTGTTGGGGTGCCTGGATGGCTCAGTCGGTTAAGCATCCAACTTTGGCTCAGGTCATGATCTCACGTTCATGGGTTCGAGCCCGCCGTCAGGCTCTGTGCTGACAGCCAGCTCAGAGCCTGGAGCCTGCTTCGGATTTTGTGTCTCCCTCTCTCTGCCTCTCCCCCTCTCATGCTCTGTCTCTCTGTCTCAAAAATAGGTTTAAAAAAAACACATTAAATAAAGGAATCATATTGCCAACTAAAGGCAGATAGAAGTTGAAAATACACATGGAATCTTGAACAAAGGCTCTTGGCACATCTAGAAAAGAATGGTGAAGGTATGGTTAATCATAGTCTTTTTGTGATTTTTCCTTCTTAAGCCTGAGGGTACATAACATTTTAATAGCATGTTTAATAAGGTATATAACAAAAATAATAGCTAAAAGCAAGAGAAGATTTCCTTAATGAATTCCCAAACATGTATAGAGAAATAATCCCTTTAAGTATTTTAAAGGGGTACAGTCAGGCCATGAGCCAGAACAAATCACATGTTTGAAGAGTTTTGTTAATAACTCTAGAAAGGAACATTTATTGTATATGTTTTGTATTTTTTTGTTCAGTGCAGCCAAGTTGGTGTTAATGACTCCTGAGGCCACATGAGTGACCTGTGAAGCGTGTTTAAAGTGGGTTAGCTTGTTAGTCGAGGTTTTATGGGCTGCTTTGAGCCTTTCTAAATTTTCATTTAGAAATGTATCGATTTTGTTAATTTTTATCCAAGGTATTTCTGTTACTTTAGTCTGATAAGATGTTGAAAAAAAATTTTATATGAATATTATGAGACAAAGGTACCCATTTTGGTAATGTTGCTAAATGTTACATTAATAGCATACAATATATATTTTTAAATGTTTATTTATTTTTGAGAGAGAGAGAGAGAGAGACAGTGTGAGCAGAGGAGGGGCAGAGAGCGAGGGAGACACAGAATCAGAAGCAGGCTCCAGGTTCTGAGCTGTCAGTCAGCACAGAGCCTGATGCAGGGCTTGAACTCACAAAGTGCAAGATCATGACCTGAGTCAAAGTCGGACACTTTAACCAACTGAGCCACCCAGGCACCCCAGCATACAATATTTTAACACAGTCATTGTCTATGGTGATGATAGATGGTATCATTCATTCTATATGATTAAGGAATGTGGCCTCTGAGAAGTTATTGGCACAAATTATGGGACAGTGAAAGTGTCCCATGTCCAAAAGTAAGTTTCTGATGGATGCTCTTGTTAAAGGGAAAAGATTAGCATTGATTTCCAGTTCATGCCGTGTATAATACATGTTATTAGACCACTGAAATATTATCTCTTTGGGTAGTAAATATCCATGAATCCATAAGGATGTATGCGGTGCCAGAAGTGCTGTGTTATAATGTATTTTTGGTGGTACAGAATATGTGTCATATGCTAATAAGCTTTAACCCCCTAAGTCTTAATAATGAAAGTTTGCATTGTCCTATATTGTCACAACCTGGTGGTCTGGAGATGTCTAATTGTGAAAGAGACTCCATCAACTCAGAAGAATACTTTACAATAATGTTTCTAATATCACTCCATGCTCTGTCCAGTAGGTTATCGATTCTACAACAATTATTTTTTAATTGTTCTCTTATGCAGAAATTTCTAAGATTAAGTTAACTTCTATTGGGGGGCCTGAACTTTATGGTCAATGTGAATAGTTAAATTCCAGTTGGTAGTCATGATAATCATGCATAGTTGAGACAATGGAATATAATTCTCTGAATGCCGAGGAGATGTTGGAACCTAAATTTCCTACTAAATTAAATATTTGTTTATTTTGAGAGAGAAAGAGAGTGCACGTCAGTGGGGGAAAGTGCAGAAAGAGAGGAGAGAGAGAATCCCAAGCAGGCTCTGTGCTGTCAGCTCAGAGCCCAATGCAGGGCTTGATTTCATGAACCATGAAATCATAACCACAGCTGATATTGGCCCCATGGGCCAATCCCTGAAGCCTCACTTTGGTGGTTGTGAGGAGAAAAATGGCGACCCCCTAGTCCCTTCTCCACGGACCAGGTGTCCCAAATCACTCCTTTGGATCAGTCCTCACTGTGCAGGAAGCATAGACAAGGTGGGCCATCTTGTATGCCCCACACCCAGCCGTGTTCCAAGCTCCCACTCCCTGCATGTTAATGCTGCCACCTGAAATGTAATCCCGCGAACCATAGCACTTCAGAGCAGGAGACCGGTTCCTCCTGATGCCGACTGCACCCCTGAGGTACCATCAAACCCAGAGGGGACTCCTGTTGTCCCCAGGTGCGGGAACAGGGGAACAGGGCAACAGCCCCAGTGCAAAGAAAGCCTTGCAATTAGAGATGGGATGATAGACTCCCTCTCCGACCCAGTCTGAGGTTTTTCTCTTGTCCGGATACAGTCCTATGTTTCCCCAGCCGCTCTTTCTCTTCCCTTTGTCTCTCTGCAGAAGGGGACCCCTCCCCTCAGCACCTCTGTGTCCCAGCTGTTTTTACCTCCCCCAGTTGGCAATCACACACCTATGAGGCTGTCTTCCTAGTAGACTCCATCTCCTTTCTTCCCAGACTCTTGGGGTTCAGAGTCCTTTGGCTTCAGCCCTTCTTTGTTTGAGATGCAGGTGGGAAGTACAGAGCCCCCCTTCTCCACCATATTGAACCCCACTCCTTTGTTCATTATTGATGAACACTTGGGCTGATTCCATAATTTGGCTATTGTGAATAATGCTGCATTAAATATAGGGGTGCAATGTCCTTTTGAATTAGTGTTTTTGTAGTTTTTGGCTACTCAGCAATGGGATTTTTTTAAATGTTTATTTATTTTTTGAGAGAGCGTGAGCGGGGTCAGGGTAGAGAGAGGGAGACAGAGGACCCAAAGTAGGCTCTGACCTGTCAGCACAGAGCCGGATGCAGGGCTTGAACCCATGAACTATGAGATCATGACCTGAACCAAAGTTGGCTGCTTAACCGACTGAGCCACCCAGGCACCCCTTCTATGTTGAATCTTTTAAAATTTATATTTTTGAGACAGAGAGCTAGAGCGAGACGCAAGTGGGGGAGGGGCAAAGAGAGAGGGAGACACAGAATCCCAAGCAGGCTCCAGACTCTGAGCAGTCAGCACAGATCCCAAGGCAGGGCTCAAACCCAGAAACCGTGAGATTGTGATCTAATCCAAAGCCAGACACTTAACCGACTGAGCCACCCAGGCACCCCTATGTTGAATTTTTTGAGGAACCTCTATACTGTTTTCCACAGTGGCTGCACACTTTGCAGTCTTACTGAAAGTGCACGTGTTCCTTTTTTTCTACATCCTTGCCAACACTTGTTTCTTGTGTTTTTGATTTGAACCATTCTGACAGGTGTGAGGTGATAATCTCCTTGTGGTTTTGATTTGCATTTTCCTGATGAGTGGTATTGAGCATCTGTTCATGTGTCTGTTCATGTCTTCTGCCCATTTTTTAAATTGGATTGGGTTTATTTTGGTGTTGAGTTGTAGTTCTTTATATATTTGGTGGGTTTTTAAATGTTTATTTGAAAACTTTTTTTTCTTAGTGTTTATTTATCCTTGAGAGAGAGAGACAGAGCATGAGAGGGAGAGAGGCAGAGAGCGAGAGAGGGAGACACAGAATCTGAAGCAGGCTCCAGACTCTGAGCTGTCAGCATAGAGCCTCATGTAGGACTCAAACCCACAAACCAGGAGATCATGACCTGAGCTGAAGTCAGA